AGAATTCGTTAAGTAGTTATCCGTTGAAAAGAAATTTAGTGAGTTGTTAGATATTAAAAATTGTTCATTAAATATTTTCTTTTAAAAAAGTTCAGTATACGAATTCTTATTAGAAAGAGTTTAGAAAGAGTTTCAACAATTAATATTTCCACATTAATTTATTAATAACAATTTAATCATTTTAATAGCAAATTGTATATTAAAAATATACCTCGAATTGAAAAAAAGATAATTTTAAAAAATTTAAGACAAAATGTTGATGATTTTCCTAGACAAATACAGTACTACCTGCCATAATGGGATAGATAGGCACATTGCATCTCTTTTTGTCTAAACAAAAAAGTTGACTAGGAATATCCTCCATAACTTGATAGTTTTGGCTGAATTGTGGCTTGAGTTTCCAAGATTGAGAAGCCAATTATGGAATGATATTGAAATGGGTGGGGGTGGAGATTATTTTTCTTTTATGGTTAAGCTTTTATGGAAGGTCAATCTAAAGAAATCCAACCATAAATATCAGAGAGATTTACTTTCTTTTTTTTTCTTGAAAATAGGCAATGGAGAGAGATTTACTTTCTAAATACACAATATTACATTGCCATATAAAGTTTTTGTTGCAATAGAAGGAGAAAACTCTAAATTTTAGTCCATAATGCAAAATAGAGGTGGTTGAATAGGGGAAAATTATTATTATTAGAGAAACTCGCCTTTTATCTAATAGTTTTATTATGCAATTTAATATAATTTAAACGGTATAATTATATATATATAAGTCTCATTTTTTATAGTTCAAACTGTGTTAAATTTAATAAATAGTTTATTAACTGTATGATTTATTTAATTTAGTTTAGAAACATTTTTTTTAAAATGATCTATAAACTATTAATTTTGTTTTAAAATGGTTTACTTCATAAACATTCCCGTTAACTGACTAACGGAATTCTTTCTAACTGTTGACTAACGAAAAATGTTAAATATAGTATGTGTATTTTTATTTTTTACAACATTTTGTTTTTGAAGTTCAA